CCCCAAAACCCCAAAACCCCAAAACCCCAAAACCCCAATATATTTAATTTCAATTGAATGTTTAGTTTGACAGAAGATATTCAACTACTTCAGGAGATCTCATCATTGCATCTGAAATTTTGGAATCGATCTTTGCCACAACAGATAGCTCAAGGTATTTTCTCAAAGATAACTCTCCTGGGTGGCCTTCTCTAGCAGGTGCGCCAAACACTGAATCAACTTGCATGTCCTTAGATCCAGAGGTGTCTAAGATATACTCCATGATCCTTAAGCATTCTTCAAACTTCTCAGTGTCCATGAGTAAATCTATTTTAAGAAGAAGCAAAGGAGCGATTAACTTATTCTTCAAGGCTTCATGGGCCATTTTTATCTCCTGGTCATTCTCTGTTTCTAAGGGGTAATCGAAGAGAACAGTTCCTTGGGAGGCATCCTTCAAGACCTTATCAATATTATTCAGAATTCTGTTCCTCCTAGTACGACCAGCTTGTTCATTAATGCTAGGATTTTTCAAAAGATGACTCTCGCAGATTAACTGGACAAGAAGACAGTGCTTCTTCCTCTCAGCAACTAGGCAGCTGTAGAAGCCATCCTGGCTGAATCTCTCATCATTCTGCTCTCAGAAGTCAAGATTAGCCTTGAGCTCGTCGTATAGAGTCTCAATGTAATTATGATACCCAAACTCAGCTGAGATGTTGAGGAAATATTTTCTGGCCACCTCAACAACGGTTTTATAAAACTCTAGATAATTATCTTGGTAAAAGAGCCAGTTGAGCTTTTTGATGACCTGCTGGATGTTCACAGCTCCACTAGATTTAGGCTTGATTCCTCCAACAATCATAGATTTTATAGTGTCCTTGAAATCATCTTTAAGTGCTGGGAGGAAAGTGTCGATATTCTCCAAGATTCGGTCCTGGATTACCTTATCAGTGATGGAATAAACTTGTTCAGAGTAATACTCTACTTTCTTGTCGTCCCCAATGATGAAGTTCAGATAAAACGTATGCATTGGAGAGTCTATTTCCTCCTCAGAGTTGATAAACTTGAATAAAACATCGTTGTATCTCTCAACTCTGTTGTTATCAATCCTTTGAAGAATATACAGCATTATCAACAGATGTGAGCTAAATCTCAAAAATATCAGGTCTTCATGTGCAAAATTTCTCAGTTGGTTCAAGTCATAGATCTTATCAACGAGAATATTCCAGCGGTTTTCATTCTCATCTGATACTTTAGATGACTTTAGCTGAATCTGCAACAGAAGAGTCAAAACTTGTAGGAAAGGGTTACCCTCTCTACTGCTAAAGGAAATAAAAGACTTTGGTACATCTTTGATGCTCTTATCTAGAATTCCATCAAAATCAATCGGGCAGGTCTCAGGGAAAGGCCAGTTTTGAAATTCAGCCTTGAACTTTTCCTCACTACAATGGAAATCTCCATGAGTCATATTGTACATTTCCAGGTATTCTTCCTCCTCTTGGATGTATTTTTCTGTCACGTTGAAGAAAAAGACTGTTTTCATATAAGACCAGAGGTAATCATCCCAATTGTTAGAGACCCTGAGCATAGATGAGGTGTCACCACAGAATGAGCCATACAGTGCTCGCTTATATTTAGATTCAGTACTCTCTCTACCATAAAACTCGATCTTCATTTTACATATTTTTATATGGTTGAAGTAATCAGCAGTGCTAAAGTTACAGTCTCTGCCATCATTGTGATTCTTTTTCTCAAGCAGTGGATCTCTAAAGTCACCTTCATTACAGCCGATGGGGTCAATGACTTCTCCAAGAGAAGGCATGTCTCCCTGTAACATGGAGGTCTTCCATGCTTTGACCAGGGTTGGGAGCCTGTCCTTGATTTGACCAAGCCTTCCAGACCTTAAGTTATTGAACATGAACTTGGCTATATCTTCTTTCAGGCAGAGGTTGTCATCTTCGATGAGACCTATTAGAAATGAGTTCGATAAATTTACCTAATTTTTCAATATCTCTTTCAGCAAGTTTGGATGGCATTCTCATATCCCAACTGTAGATCTTCTCCAGCCATTTGAGGATATAATAAACTGACAGGATCTCATGGTCGCTCTTTATGATATCAGAAAGCAAGGTCATGGGAGTTCTTTGGTCTTCAGGAATCGTATCTCTCTTTATATTTTCGAAATGGATATAATCCGCAGAAACACACTCAGTAAAAAGTTTCCATGAAATATTCTCAAATTTGATGGCCTCCTGAACGGATGAATTTTCATGGTCAGCATTGTAGTCAAGTTTTGAGATAGCATCATAGCCTTCAACTGTAAGTCTGTTAAGTTCCTTCTCAAGATTCCTGATCATTTTGACCGGGTTAGATCCCTGGATACAGAACTTAGCCTTTTCATTCTTCCACTGCGAATTTCTATCAAATTCGAAAGATGGACCAAAGTTGAATTTATAGCTCTTATCAAGCCTTTCATCAGCACCTTTCTCTGAGTAGCTTCTGAGGCACTCAAAGTAGGCTTGCTTGTACAGCGATTCTCGCTCCATTTCTAACTAATTTATATAATTTTAGCTGTTGTTGAGTTGTCACGGGGTTTTGGGGTTTTGGGGTTTTGGGGTTTTGGGG